CATTAGCACAACATCAGCAAAACAAATGTTAAATAATAAAAAAGCTTGAACTTTATCCCATTTTACTATTTTAGCCAATTGATATTGTAAACTTATTTTGGTTTTTTAATTTTTAGATTTTTGAAATTTATTTAATCTTAAGAAAAAAACTAATTGTGCGTTAAAAATTATTTTTAATTTTAAAATTTAAGTTAAATGGAAGATATATAATATATATAATATTTTAGAATTAAATTCTTATTTTTGCTTAGTATATTAATTATTAATTAAATAATAAATTTTACATGGTAAACTAATAGAATTGAATTTGGAGAATCATTTAAGAAAATCCAAATTTTACATGATTAAATATAATTGATTATGTGTTAAATATGTTGTGATATTGCCAAAATTAAAAAAAAAAAAAAAAAAAAAAAAAAAAAAAAAAAAAAAAAAAAAAAAAAAAGAGCTACAATCGTAAATACGATCAATGTTCAGACGTTTTTTGGTTATCATTTAGTCTTTTTTGGTTGTTAGTGTGGCTTGGTGATGTGGCACTGATGTGTAAAAATATGAATGCCACTAATGACAATATTAACAATTTTGCAACGTGCATAGGACTTGGGACTCTAATTGCTATAAAAAAAAGTAAATTTACTGTTACAGTTGTCAAATTAAAAGAATTTACTAAAATCAAAGTTGAGACTTTTTTCTTTTGTCATTTAGCATTTTATTTTAAAATTAAATCTATATAATATATAAAAGGAGAGTAGTTTGTCTTATATATAAGCTAAGTGTAAGTAACATAATTTGTCGCTTGACAGTATTTTGAATTACAGAATGACAAATGTTAATTTAGAATTCTAAATTAAGTTGTTGGATTAATTTTTTAAAAAATTAATTTTATTGATAATTGAACTCACCAATATGCAGCCTAGAGCTAATCTCCTCCCATTTCAATTTATTTATCGTAGTTTTCATTAAAAAAAAAACTCACTTTGCTAGAAAATAAGGAATGACTTACCAATACTACCGAAATAAGTTTTTAGTTGTAACGAAAGTATTTCTGATCATTTATTAATAAAAAAAAGACACAACAATAAATTTTAAAACAACACTTCATTTTTTCTTGGTAATAAAAAAAACTTAGTTGATTAGTTTTGTGTATGGAGTAGTTTCATATAACAGAAACTAGATTGCAAGGGGTAATGAGATATGAGACGTACGGGATACAATAATTTTTTAAAAAAAAGTAGGACATTCATGCTCTTAGGACACACATTACCTTAAATAAGTATAATATATTAATATTTTAAATAAATAAACAATCATTTATAATAAATCATAATCATAAAATAAAAAAATACTTAATTTTTTATATTCATAAAATAAAAAAACGAACTTAATTTTATCTCAATTACTAATATGTAATTTCTTCAAAATTATTATCACTATTGATAAATACATTAATAGGTGTGATAATAAATCATAATCATAAAATAAAAAAATACTTAATTTTTTATGTCAATATAATTTGTTAATTTCTCAAAATTATTATCACTATTGATAAATACATTAATAGTGTGTGTGTATTTTTTTATGCAGATCATACAATGCATGGCTTTTGCTATTACCTTGGTGAAAGGGTTCATAGGATACTTAAGAATGCACATTATCATTGCAATTTTTTCGGTAAATCTTAATGAGATATAATTTTATAATACATTTCACCATCATTATATTATACAATTTTATTATTTTTAAATGATATTATAAAAGAATATTTCATTATTTAATATTGCTATGCGCATCGCGCGAATTCTAACACTAATATAAGGTGAAAAATAATAAAAAAAATAAATAGTACAATCTTTCCTTATTTTTCTTTCTCTCATTTCTCAACATAGTATAAACATGCAGAGAAAAAGAAAAGAATTATATATTAGTATTACCTGAACTTTAGGAGTTTTTTTCAATTTTTCACATTATTTTTATTTTTTATTTTTTGTCAATTTCACCTCAATTTCAACCTTTTGTAGCAATATCACCCTCAATTGTAATTAACGATGAAATTGCAAATAAAAATGTATTTATATAAATTTTTAGACATTATGTGACATTGAAAAAATTTTAAAAATAAAAATTTTAAAAAATCACTAGTCCATCTAATTGATGTTGCATAGATTAAATTTTTAATTTTTAAAATAAAAAATTGACATTTAATAATTTAATAAATAAAATTTTTTAACTTACTAAAAATCCTAAAGCATGAAATAAAAATTAAGTTGATAAAAAATAATTTTTTTAATTGTGTATTTTGTTTTCATAATATCTGTATGTTAAGAATAAAAAAATCCTAATTGTGGGAATTCTTTAGATTGATAATATAAAGAAATTTATTTTTCATTTAATAGAAAATAAATAACTTTTTAATTATTTTGATTACACATTTCAAATATCATATTTCTTGATTCATGATGTACCACTTACTAGATGTGAATATAATTTAATATTTAAAAAATATTTATGTTATTGATTTATTTTATTCAACAATATAATATTGTAGTTAAAAAAAGATAAAAATATTTTTTATTTACAATTCCATCCTGTATTGTAATTGAAGGCGCTATTGCTATAAAAGATCGAAAAGATCAAATTAGGGTGAAATAGTAAAAATTTATAAAATACAGCATATTCTGATAGATTAAGCCAAAAAAGAAATGCAAACAGGGGCAGTTAGGCAATAAAACATGGGGCGTTAGTCCGAATCTAACAAACTACGACTAAATTTAAATCTTCAAACTTGGACCGTTGTGAGAAGTCAAATATCTCCCCTCCCAATCTAATTTTTTAATAATATTTTAACAAAAAAATAAAAACAAACAAACTTGGGCGTTAGTCCGATTTTTTCTAGATTATTTAATTGAAGTTCATCAGCTAATTGATAGTTCTGCCTTCGTAAACTGAAGCAAACATCACTAGACTTATATTTTTCATTTAATTCAATCCTTTTCGAGTAATTAATCCTTTTTTGAAATTTTTTTATTTAAATAACTTTTTACTCCCTTATGTTTGTTGTAATCACAAATTCATCTCATTTTTTTAGTAAATATGTTTATTAATCCTTAAAATTTAACTATTTAGTCTTTTATATAAAAGTGTCATTTTACGAGTTAATCATTTAGTCATCGGTATTTATTATCGAATTATTATTTAGTCTTATTTTTAATGAAAGAAAATGATACTTTTTGAATAGAAGATTAAATAGTATAAAGAAATTAATTCAAAGACTAATTAACATATTTACCAAATAAGAGAGATAAATATTTTTATAGAGTGATTTTGCGACAAGTTACAAAGTTCAAGGTATTTTTATAATTTAAACTGATAAGTATATATAAACTTAAAGGATTTGAATGTAACATCTAAAATTTTGGATCATTGCTATTGACTGCGACTTTTTCTTGTGGAATTTGTGCTCTAAAAATTTTTGAATTGCATCATTATGAAAGTGTGAAAGGAATTTTGAAAGTTGAAAACGTTGAATTCAATTAAAATTTTTGTACATGTCAAATTTAAATTTTTTTAATTGGTTGACTAAGTTATTTTATATTCATACATATTAGTTATATTAATTAATTTAAAGTAATTTATAATTGATTTCAACTCAATAATAAATTGTTGCTTCTTTTCAAGAGATTCTCATTTCTATCTACTATTAAATCCACCAAATAAAATCTGATCCATTTATAAATTGAATCGGAATATAGATTTAGCAAAGCCAACTTGAATCCTAATTATTTTTTTTTATGTAAAAACAACTTTTTAAAGTAATTTTATATATATTAAAAATATATTCAGATTTGAATACCATCTATTTAATAGGGAGTGAAAATTTAATAATATTAATTTTTAATTTTTAGAACGATATGGATATTGCAAAATTAATTCCAACCATACCTCTTGTATGATGTCCCTATTCTTTTCCCACTAAAAAGAATTATTTATTGATTTATTCTTTTGAGTGGACATTGTCGAGGACAAGTTGGGCTGTGGGCGCATCAAGTGGAAGTCCGGTAAGAACAACTAGCGCGCCAAAAATGACTCAAATAATTAATTTGTTAATACTTTTCTGTTTTTCAAGATGGACCTAAAATTAACATTGTTCAATTTTAACAATTATTAGTTTTAAATTGTTTAATAATCATATTTATAACAAGTATTTGAGAATTTTTAATTAAGACGCACATAAAATAATAATCAAAATTTTAACTTAATTTTTTTAGAAGAAAATGAATTATCATTAAAGAATAATATCAAATATAATAACAGCTTTTATCTTTCTTGGAAGCTCGTATCAAACTTGAAGACAGAGCCAGCTAAAGAGTGAGCCTTGTAACTTAAAATTATAAATGAATATAACTCAATAATATACAAAATAATTTTATAATTTAAAATCTTAATCAGATACTCAAAAAATCATAATTTATTATTTCAGTACTTAATTTTCTGTTGTATATATTTTCTTTTTTAATTTTATATGACAAAGAATAATTTTAAAATGTTAATCAGGTGTGGTTCGGTTGGTCTTCTCACATATATGAGATGGTTGTCTGGTTGGTCTTCTCACTTATGTGAGAAGTAAGAGGCGTCGAATTCAAATCCTCTCGACCATACTATCCCTATTGTGTAGTCCGGAGAGTAATGGCCCATAAAAACATCTAATAAATTAAAAAATAATAATTTTAAAATATTCCATAATATTACAATATAAATTATATTTTTAGACAATAAAAATATACTAAACTTATTTTTATGGATTAATTTCGTCTTAAGTATAAATGATTTCAAAATATTCTAATTTTGAAGTCTACAACCGCCAACTCCGCCCTCTTATCTTCTCTTCTTTTCAAAAAAAAAAAAAAAAAAAAAAAAAAAAAAACATTCTTCTCTCTTCTTTTCAAAAAAACATTAAAAAAAAAAAAAAAAAAAAAAAAAAAAAAAAAAAATCCGCCTTCTATTCCAGGACCAGGAACCAGGAAGGATTCTGTCAAATTTCCAATATTTTTTTTTCTTAGTGTTTTACAGTAAATAATTGCAGAAAGACGATTAGGTTCGTCACTATGCCTCGTTGTTCATAGATATCTCAATCCAACCCTGTTTTCCTCTTATTCTCCACCACTCAATCCTTAACATTACATTTTTTTTGGTTTATGTGTTTACACTTCCTTCAAAACTCAAAAAAGGGAGTCTCTAAACTGTTAAACAATAAAAAATTTAATTGCACATAAATATATATTGTGCAGGTCAGCATAGCAACTCTCCCCGTCTCTTGCATTCTGTATTTTCAACACAAAATGAAGCTTGTTTTGATACTTCTTTTGCTGTTACATATACCAATTCTTTTTGTTTCTCCATTAAACTCAGATGGGTTGGCTTTATTATCTCTAATGAAGCAGTGGACATCTGTGCCTCCTTTCATAACCAATAGTTGGAATTTTTCTGATTCCACTCCTTGTTCCTGGGTAGGAATTGAATGTAACAGTAAAACCCACAATGTAATTTCTTTAAGTCTTTCTGGGTATCTTATTTCTGGTCAATTGGGACCTGAAATTGCAAATTTGACCCATTTGCAAACCCTTGATTTGAGCAATAATAGTTTCTCTGGTGTGATTCCATCACAGGTAAGTAATTGCTCTCTGCTAGAAAGTTTAGATCTTTCCCAAAATTTCTTTACTAAAGAAATACCTTACAGCTTGCAAAACCTGCGGAATTTGAAGACGTTGGGTCTTTATAAAAATTCACTTAGTGGAGAAATTCCTGAATGGATTTTTCGAATTCCAGGTATAGAGACATTATACTTGGATTCAAACAGTTTTAGTGGCTCAATTCCGAGTAATGTTGGGAATTTGAGTGAGATTTCTGAATTATGGCTAAGTACAAATCAATTAGTAGGCAATATTCCTGATTCAATAGCGAATTGTAGCCAATTGAAAGAACTTCTTTTGGGTGAGAATAAATTGGTTGGGCTTTTGCCTCAGAGATTAAATATTCTTGATAATCTTGAATATTTACTTGTTAACGATAATGGTCTTGTGGGTGATGTTAATTTTGGTTTGGGCAATTGCAAGAATTTAAAAGGTCTAGATTTTTCATACAATGGCTTTAGTGGAGGTCTTCCACCTGATCTGGGCAACTGCAGTAGCTTAGAACAGTTGATCATTGCGGGTAACAAATTAACGGGCAATATCCCTTCTTCTTATGGCTTGTTGGGTAACCTTTCAATGCTTTACCTTTTTGAAAATAGTTTGTCTGGAAAAATTCCACCTGAACTTGGAAAGTGCAAGTCCTTGAAAGAATTGAAGTTATACAGAAACCAACTTGAGGGGGAAATTCCAAGTGAATTGGGAATGTTGAGTGAACTGACGAATCTTGAATTGTTTGAGAACCAATTTACTGGTGAGATTCCAATTAGTATCTGGAAAATTCAAAGCCTGGAACATGTTCTTTTGTATAAGAACAATCTTTCAGGTGAATTACCCTTGGAGTTGACACAACTCAAACATCTAAGTGGACTCTTGTTGTATAATAATCGATTCTTTGGAGTCGTACCTCAGAGTTTAGGAGTTAACAGTAGCTTAGAAGTAGTGGATTTAATGTATAACCATTTTACTGGCACAATTCCACCAAATCTTTGCTTTAGGAAGCATTTAAGAGTTTTGAATTTAGGTTATAACAACTTTCAGGGTAGCATGCCGGTTGATGTGGGAAGTTGCCCAACTCTCTGGAGACTGCGGCTTGACAATAATAACCTCTCAGGGGTTATTCCAGAATTTCCTGAAAATCTGAACCTTGCATTCATGAATATCAGTGGCAACAGCATAACTGGAAAAATTCCATCAAGCTTGGGGAACTGCACCAATCTCACTTCCATTGACTTGTCCATGAATAAGCTTACCAGTTTTTTACCTCCAGAGCTTGGTAACCTTGTAAATCTTACAGAAATAATTCTGGCACATAATGATTTACAAGGTTGTTTGCCTTCTCAGTTATCAACCTGGAAGAAATTAGACAAGTTTGATGTTGGTTTCAACTCATTGAACTGTTCAATTCCATCAAGTTTGGGGAATTGGACTACTTTATCCACTTTAATTTTTGAAGAAAATCGGTTTACTGGGGGCATTCCTCCATTTCTTAAAGAACTTACAAGTCTTAATCTTTTAAGATTGGGTGGAAACATGTTGGCAGGTGAGATTCCTTCTTGGATTGGAGAACTGAAGAATCTGCAATACGATTTGAATCTTAGAAATAATGGATTTATTGGTAGTATTCCTTTGGCGATGAGGGGTTTGACCAAGCTACAGAGTCTTGATATCTCTAGCAACAACCTAACAGGAAGTTTGGATGCTCTTAGTAGTATGCAGTCTTTAATGGAAGTTAATGTTTCTCATAATCTCTTCGCTGGTCCAATACCAGAAAGCCTGATGAAATTAGTGAGTGCCTCATTTTTGGGAAATCCTGGCCTTTGTGTCAATTGTGCTATATCAAGTGGATTGAATTGCTATGGAAATGGAAATTTCAGAGTCTGTGACAGTATTTCCAAAAATGGGAAAATCCTTAGTAAAACAGAAACTGTGACGATTGTCCTTGGATCATCATTATGTGTCCTGCTTGTGGGATTAGCGTTTATGTTTCTACTTTGCAGACGAAGAAAGCGGCAGGAACTGTGCAAATCTATGCAAGAGGATGATGATGATGACCCTCTACTGAACCAAATAATGCAGGCTACTGATAATCTAAATGAAAGCTATATTGTTGGAAAAGGAGCTCATGGAGCTGTTTTCAAAGCAGAATTAGGTCCATCCAATGTTTTTGCAGTGAAGAAGCTTGAATTTACAGAACGCAAAGATGGAAGTCGAAGCATGGTTAGAGAAATTCAAATCATTCAGAAAATCAGGCATCGAAACCTGATCAAAGTTGAAAACTTCTGGTTTAGAAAGGACTATGGATTAATCTTGTACAAGTACATGGAAAATGGGAGTCTTTATGACATTTTACATGCAACAAATCCGACACGAAAACTGGAATGGAGTGATCGATATAAAATAGCCATTGGAACTGCCCATGGATTAGCTTATCTTCACTATGATTGTGATCCACCCATATTACACAGAGACATCAAACCACAGAATATACTATTAGATTCTGACATGGAACCTCATATCTCCGATTTCAGTATTGCCAAGATTCTTGATCAGTCAACACCATCTACTTCAATTGCTGGTACAGTTGGATATATTGCACCAGGTGATTTATCTTTTCCTCTTTTACTATTATTATTTCATTTCTACATGTGTTTGGAACTTTCTGATATAAAGTCTACTTTGATCTTGACAGAGAATGCATTTATGACAGCAATGAGCAAGGAATCTGATGTATATGGTTATGGTATTGTTTTGCTTGAATTAATAACAAGAAAGAAGCCATTGGCTTCATCATTTGTGGAGGAAATGGACATTGTTGGATGGGTTAGATCGGTCTGGAGTGAGACTCAAGAAATGACTGTCATTATTGATTCAAGTCTAATCGAGGAAGCCGTCGATTCAAATATTACAGAACAAATTATTGGAGTGCTTTTACTTGCATTGAGATGTACTGAGAAGAAGCCGAGTAACCGACCGACAATGAGAGATGTTGTAAAGCAATTGTTGAATGTTAATAACCAGTATAGAAGCAGATGACACATGGTTTAGCTTTCAAAGCTTTGTAGATATGACAGTCAATAGTTCTGAGTCTACTTTTTTTTCCCCTATTTTCTGGCATAGGATAATTTAATGTAATGTTTCAAAGAGAGCCATGTAATTCTGCTATGCAGTTTTAAATGTGTAGAAACCATACAGGGTCTTTGGTGAAAAATTTAAGTTCCTCAATGTTAGTTTCTATTCAACACTAAAATAGTTTCTCATCCGAATCAATCTGTAAATAGGAAATTTAGGAAAACTCCTCAAATGCTCTATTTGCACAAATTCACTGGCAGTAAATTAAAAAAAAAATAAAAAAACGAATTGTTAAGGCACATGAATTCTGAAGAAATACTCTTCTGGCAGCCAGAAACGACAGACGTTTGGGATAACCGTGTTCATACGCGTTGTAATCAAATTTGGTGTTTATTGATTTCTTGATTGGATTGTCAATTATATTACATAATCTTCCTTCACTACTCATGTTTCTGAAATGGATAGCCGTGAATTTTGAACTAGCCATATTTATGCGCGTACCAATTTAAAATTTTACAATTCATATTTATGCTAAACCTATTTAAATATAAAGTATTTGAATCCAAATGCAAATTTATTTTTAAATAGATAAGACATCAATAAATTTTAAATTCTCTTTATTTAAAGTTTTTTTACCAATGATATGTAAAGTACTCATGACTAAACTCATTTAATACAGCAGATAACCATCAACGGAAGTATGCTTCACCAATGTAACTTTATATTAAATTGGGCTTTGCTAACATACAGATTAGTTATATCGATCCAGATTGCTCTATAATTGACATTTGCCCATAAAACTTTTTATGTTAAGTTACGAAACCTGTTCTCTATTTGTTATTTTTATATTCCTTAACTGTATCTTTTGTTTCCCCTTATTTCTCTTCTATTCCATGTTATACAAAAAATATATAATATCTTCCAAAATAAGAATTAAAATAATTCCTTTCTCAATCATCAGCAAGAGTAAGAATGTGATATTAAAATATAAAAAATATCATAGGATATCATATAAATACTATTTATATGGTTTGATTTAATATTATTATATTCTTGTATAAATAATATAAAAGAGTGTGAAATAACCTAAAAATTGATTTTTTTCAAAAAGTTTTTCATTTAAAAATTTAATTGTAAATTTTAACCAATAGAATTGAATGAAAAATAATATTTTATGCTAAGAATCAAACCCAAAATCAAATTCAGGTTGATAAACTCAATTGAAAAATCTGTAAATCAACTGAAAACTAAACTAACATTTAATTTGGACCAAATCCGGTAGAATCGAACCAGAATAACCCAGAATATCCCAGAAACTTCCTTTTCTTTCTTCTTCCTTGGTCTAGTGACAAAACCTGCCGATTCCTCTCTCTCTCTTCGTTCTCCAGCCACCTGAGACAGGTCCGATGGACCCCCTTGGCGCCACCGTCGTCTGCAGCTTCTCTCTCTCCGTTCTCATTGCCAGTGGGCGCAGCAAATTGGCGAGCTATGATTTCTCTCTGCTACCGGTGCAGCAGCGCCTCCATTCACTCCGGCAACACTAGGCGATTCCGGCGACTTGAGGCTTTGAAGTGAGTCTCGATCGACTCAACTCGTCAACGCGAACATTTTTCCTCCATTAATTCTGGTGTTGGGCTTAGTCTCGCGAATCCGCCATGAACGACGGCGTTGAAGGGACTGTCGGCGGGATTCGCAACTGAAGAGCTCGTTTATTCTTCAAATTGAGGCTGGATATGGACTCCTGGTGAAAATCCGATTAGCCAATGGCTTTATCAGTCGAAGTCGATTTACCTGCCATTGTGCACGGTGGACGCCGGCGGAATTCCGGCGACCGACCTTCGAGTTTCCGGCGAAACCCCGGGAGGCAGAAGCTTAAGATTCACGCACTGATCTGAATCCGATTTTTAATTTATTAAATTCAATGTGAATTTCAAGTTTGAAAATAATGGTCATTGTGTTAAATTAATTTTGATTAAAATAATTAAGGATTAAGAGTTAAATAAGAGTTTTTATAAATTTAAGCAAGTTATAATTGCTGCTATAAAAATGAATTGAGTACTTGGAAGAATATGGATCTATAGTATGAATTTTGAATAAAATAAGCAAAGCATATAAATTATAATGCTTGGCTACGAGGAATGTAATTACTGGGGCTTTAATTCATTGTGTATATATATATATAAAGAGACATAGGATTCTTAATTTAATTTGAGCTAATGATTAAGGAAATAACTTGAATATTCACTGTTATATGAACTATTTAGGAGACGGAAAATAATTTGAGTAAAATGAAATTTATTACTGGATGGATATCAGTTATTTTGAGATTAGGATTATATTATATGAGATGAGATGGTGATGAAATAGATTATTTAAAAGATATAATCTTTTGAGTAGAGATTTATTATTTGGTAAATGGTTAAGGAAATAAATCATATTGAGATAAAGTAAAAATATATAAGGATTTACTGAAATTAGATTAAAGGTCGTTTTAATTTATAAATTAACAGTTGATTATAAAATCTATTATTGGATGTTAGAATTATTGATTGCCCGATAGATAGGCAGTGTGACTAGTAATCGATAAATTAAGTTTTATAAGTTTTAGCTTAATTCTTATTTAAGAAAAACATTCGTTTAATGCAGTTTTTTCCTTTATATGGTGTTTTATCCACTACAAAAAGATGCGCTTTAGTGACCAACCTACATCAATCGCCATATTGTGATGATTTGCGACCAATTGCGATGAATATTGAGTAACACAGATTTAATATTCACTGGCGAATTTGCGACCAAACTACTACAAATTTAGCGACGGAATGGCGACCGCATGCAGATCGGTTGCTAATTCTAGCGCTAATAACTCCAGTCAGTTTGGTTTTTACTTTGTGACCTCATTGCAATGAATTAGCGACAGAATTTGCGACTGTTTCACAGTCTATCACAAAATTGCGCGCTATAGTTCAGTGCTAAATTTAGTTTCTGGTTTGCAAGGGATTAGCGACCGATATTTTTGCGACCAACTAGTCGCAATTTGTTTGATTACAAAACAACATCGCAGGATTAAAAATTGCAATCGAGTTTTAAATGATTTGCAATCGATCTGTTGGTCGCAAAAAATTAGGGCTTTATAACCCCTAGGTCGCCTTGGTCAAGAGTGCAGTGCCCCCTGTCTCCCTTTTCCTATTTGTTTCCAACGGCCTCCTCCTCTCCTTCCACCATTTTCGTTGGTCACATTTGCTGCTGCTGTCGCCAAACACTTTGCCACTGTCGCAGGAGAAGACGCATCGCGCTTGGTCAGGTAGGTGCTCTAACCCTTTTAATTTATATTTTTTTTCTTGCGTTTTTTTTTTATTTACAAAATGCAATTCTATGTTAAATCTGTTTGTGCTCTAACCCATTTGTGTTTTTTTAGAATTCATTGATAGTTATTGAAAATGTTTAGTAGGTTATAAATGTCTGTTCTTTGTGCATTTGATAGGTTAGAATATTTCATCTGTAAAAGTAATTGCATACCTATCATTTCTAAAGCTAGATTGAAGGTACTTATGAAACTTCGCTAAACTACAGTACAACTCCATTAGATGTATCCGCAGTCTTAATTTTGTTCAGCGTAATAGTTAATTGCACTGATTTATGATGGCACAATAAAAAATTGTTCTGAAATGCATAGTTTTATTAGTTTTGGAGTCTAAATACTTGCAATGTGAACTTTATAGGAGTTGCTGAAGGTATTTGTTGAAGGTGTTGAAAGACGCTAGACTGAATTTTCACTTAAGCATATCTATTTGTTTTTAGGGGTTTTTAAAAGTTGAATTAACTGAATGTTTGCCATTCTAGAATTTCATAAGAGTTTTTTTTTTTTTTAAAATTATAATATTTTCCATGATCTTGTTGCCAACTCGAATGCAATTTGTTTTCCTTGATAGATTAGTTTCTATTAATTTGATTCTATTTATTAATGCTAATATAGCTCTTTTTTTATTAAAATATAAATTATTTTATATAAAATAAAATTTTAAAAAAATTGTATAAAATTGTGTTGGACATGCAGGTCCATCATTTCTCTTTTATTTTTATATATAATATAAAAAATATGGCTTTTTGGTTACTCGAATGGAAAAGAGAATGTAAGTTTTGCCATTATATTCCCTTGTTCAATAGCATATAATTAGACTTAGAAATTGATTGAAGAATATGGACTTTTGGCTAAACTCTCTCATCCCAATTCCATATGGCCTTTTTTTAAATACCACATATACCCTTTTTCACTTATTCTATTTTTCTCTCCTCCAGCATCTACCTGCCAATGAAACTAACATTTGATGCATGTCTTATTTTTTGTACCTATTAAACTCTTTAAGTTTTATTGATTTTGCCAATAAAATATAATTCCTTTTAAAATTACATTTCAAAAAAGATTACTAGAAATAAAAGATATAATTTCCCTTCACAATACAAATATTAAAATAACGTCGTTAATATAAAAATATTTAATAAAACAATTCATTGAAATAGTCAAATTATTTAGGATATTTTGGTCCTTTTACTAATGCCCATTCCATTCCTTTCCATTTTCTGTTGAAAACGTGAATAAAAATTCTATTATCCATTCCATTCCATTCCACATTTCATTCCTTGCTATTATACTAAACATGGCTCTCCTTGAGCGAAATGCTAAAGCAAGAATAATAAGATGTTTCAATTCAACTGTCGCAGTCCAATACTAATTCAACTGACACTAGACTAAAATTATTTTATGTTGATTTGTGTTTTTATTTGAGTGGAAATCACATGAATGATGCGTTTGAGTTGGAGGCCTAATAATGGCCATTTTGATTTTGGAGAATGTTGGGATTAAATAAAAGTGTTTATATGAGTCTGTTTACTTGAAATTTGATTATGTTATGTTGAAATGCAGCCGAAATTTTTTTAAAAACTGAATATGAGGAACCGTATACTTACTGATATTATAGTAAGTTTAATAGTAAGTTATATATATATAGTTTAAACTTAGATAGAAATAACCTTAGTAAGTTTACAATATATATAAGTCCACCCTATTATAGAAATATTAGTAAATTAGATTGTTAAATGGAACATATTTTGGTCTGTTATAAGGATGAGCATTTAGGGCTTAATGCAATTACATAATTTGCCCTTTATAAAACAGAGTGG